TCCTCATACAGGTGTCGTCTCCTGTGTGGGATCAAAGTCCAGCCACCAGACACTTCTGGCAACATTCCAGGACTCCCGAGCCCCCCAAGGGTGCTCTCGGTGACCCCTCAGTGCTGAGGTGCTGAGATCCCACACCCCAGGATCTGTTCAAATGTGCGAGACAGAGAGGGAAAAGGCTTTGAAATCTCCCCCCAGTGAGCTGTGGGTTATTCCAGAGATGATTTTCCTGAATTTTCTGCTTCTCTTTGTGCTCTCTTTGCTGTGCAATATCTAATTCCTGCTTTCCTGCCTTGCAGCACCCTATGAAGGTGGAGTGTGGAAAGTTCGAGTCGACCTTCCTGACAAATACCCCTTCAAGTCCCCGTCTATAGGTAACCAACACTCATTGCAGCAAAATCTGGGCTCTGGGCCTCAGCTTTGTGGTACCAGTGGAATACACGGATTTTATGGGATTTCACATCCCAAGGAAAAAGGAATTTGGGGCTTTGGAAGGAGGAGGAGGAGCTGGGAGTGGGATTTGGCTGCATATTTGTGTGTTCATCAATTCAATCTCTGTTCCATGTGGGGTTTTTTTAATAATTAACTCCACTTATTGTGGCATTAATTATTAAAAAAATTAAATTTAAAAATTTTATTTTAAAATTATTAACTTACTATATTTTAAAATTATTATATTTAAATTTATGAAATTATTACATTTCAATTTTTAAAATTTTAAATTTCTTAAATTATTATATTTAAATTTTTAAAATTTTACATTTCTTAAATTATTACATTTAAAATTTTGTTAAATTTAAAATTATTAATTTTTTAAATTCAAAATTTATATAAATTTATGTATTAAATTTAATTTTACAAAATTTAAAAGTTTAATAATTGACTCCACTTATTGTGGAGTTAATTATTAAAGGGTTTAATTTTAAATTTAAAAAATTAAATTTAAATTTATTAAATTTAATGCATTTATTATTACATTTTAAAATGCAATAATAATATATTATTTAAATAATATATTATTTATATATTATAAATTATATTTATATATTATATATAAATTATGGTATTGGTATGAGATTCCAACGGGAGATTCCAAAGGGAGATTCCAAAGGGAGATTCCAATGGGAGATTCCAATGGGAGATTCCATCGGGAGATTCCATCAGGAGATTCCAATGGGAGATTCCAGTAGGAGATTCCAATGGGAGATTCCATTGGGAGATTCCAATGGGAGATTCCAATGGGAGATTCCAATGGGAGATTCCAATGGGAGATTCCATCAGGAGATTCCAATAGGAGATTATCCCATTCCTAACACAGCCTGAGCTCTGGAAAAAAATAGAATTAATAGGCATAAATTTTATATGGAATTCTCTGATTTTTAGAGACTGGGAATGATGGAAATGAGAATTCTCCCATTCCTGACCCTGCCTGAGCTCTAGAAAATAATTATAATTAATANATGTTCGCTGGTGTTCAAATTCTCCTCATCACCCTGGGACTGAGATAATTTATCTTCATCTCCTCAGGCTCACTTCTCATCCCTGTGGCTTTTGAACTCTGAGATCTGACTCGTGTCCAGATTTTTCTCTTTTCCCTTGACTTTTCCACTGGGTTTTTTTTGGCACCAGCTCCAGTTGGCATCCTGAGGTGGTGAGGAGATAAAAGCAGCAAGGCCAAAAGCCTTGGGAGGGATTGGGGTGATGGTTTTTGAACATTTTGGGGCATGGGATGTGTTGCAGGCTGGGTTTGTAGCTGTGAGCTTGGCTCTGTGTCCTGCTGTGGGAACAGGGGCTCCTTCCAGGTGAGCCCCTGGAATCAGCAATGTTTCAAGCCTTTATCCATTAATTGCTTGGGGTTTTTGTAGATTTAACTGATGAAAATTGTGCTGGGAGAGAATGGGGGTGCAGAGAGATTGGCCTGGACAGGGTGGACTAAAAAAATGTTCTTTCAAAATGGTCTTGCCAAAAAGTGCCAGATTTTGAATTGAATTCCTGGGGGCTTTCTGCAGGCATAGAAATCCCCTGAAAGGGGTGGCTGGCAATTCTGGACACAAATCCCAGCAGAAACCTCTGGAGATCACCTTGATTGTGTGGGAATCTTTCTCCAAGTTCCTGCTGCTCCTTTCCTGGTGTTTGCTGGAGCTGTGCTCACTCTCTGAACACCTGGAGCGTTTCTCATTCCTTGGAATCTCTGCAGGATCCACCAGCAGAACCTGGATGCAGGAGAGGACATCCCACCAGCACAGCTGGGTTCCTTCAGGATTGTGAGTCCCAGACATGGCTGGGTGTGAGCCTGCTGATGAATTCCTGCCGTGTTTGGGACAGAATTCACTGGGATTGGGCTGTGAGATTTTCACTTTATGGAAAAGATTGAGCGTGAGCTGAGAGAGCAGAGCCTGGATTGACTGCCAGACCCGTCAGCAGGAGGGATGGAGGAGCTTTCTGTGGGAGTGTGGTGTGGACACCGCTGCTGGGACAGTCTGTGGGGTGCATTTCCTCAGATTGCTGCGTTTCCAAGATTGCTGCATTTCCAAGATTGCTGCATTTCCTCAGATTGCTGCGTTTCCTCACATTGCTGCATTGCCTCACATTGCTGCATTTCATTTCCTCACATTGCTGCATTGCCTCAGATTCCTGCATTTCCTCAGATTGCTGCATTTCCTCAGATTGCTGCATTTCCTTAGATTGCTACATTTCCTTAGATTGCTCCGTTTCCTCACATTCCTGCATTTCCTCAGATTGCTGCGTTTCCAAGATTCCAGCATTTCCTCACATTGCTGCGTTTCCTCAGATTGCTGCGTTTCCTCACATTGCTGCATTTCCTCACATTCCTGCGTTTCCTCAGATTCCTGCATTTCCTCAGATTCCTGCATTTCCTCAGATTCCAGTGTTTCCTCACATTCCTGCGTTTCCTCAGATTGCTGCATTTCCTCAGATTGCTGCATTTCCTCAGATTCCAGCATTTCCTCAGATTCCTGCCTTTCCTCAGATTCCTGCGTTTCCTCACATTCCTGCATTTCCTCACATTCCTGCATTTCCAAGATTGCTGCATTTCCTCGCATTCCTGCATTTCCTCAGATTCCTGCGTTTCCTCAGATTGCTGCATTTCCTCAGATTGCTGCATTTCCTCAGATTCCTGCATTTCCTCAGATTCCTGCGTTTCCTCAGATTGCTGCATTTCCTCAGATTCCTGCATTTCCTCAGATTCCTGCGTTTCCTCAGATTCCTGCATTTCCAAGATTGCTGCATTTCCTCAGATTNCCTTTCCCTTTTCTATTCCCTTCTTTCCCTTTGTGTTCCCTTCCTCCCCACACACTTTGATTCTCCCTGTTGTTCTTTTCCCCCCATTTCTCCCCATACTCAGCAGTTTTTTGGTCAGATTAACCTGGGATTGCCAGGATTTCCATGGGAGCTGTGGGAGGGAAGAGTGGAATTCATTGGAGCAGTGGGTTTATTTCAAACACGTCCCAGTGCTCCCCCAGATCTGAGCTCACTCTGTGCAGGAGGGGATGGGAAATGGGAAACTCTGAGGATTCACCCCAAGGTTCCTCAGGGCAGGGTGGGGAATTGGCTTTGCCAACGTCACTGTGGTCACTCAGATGTGTCAGGACACTCAGATTCCATGTGGGGCTCGGGATATTCTGAATATTTGGGTCAGTGGGCTCTGAGTGCATTCCTTGGGTTTTGTTTCCTGCCCTGGATGTTTTTCCTTGACTTGCCGCACCAGGATCGAGAGCAAACACGAAGTCACAATCTTAGGAGGACTCAACGAATTTGTTGTGAAGTTTTATGGACCACAAGGAAGTAAGTTCATGGGAATGCAATCGTTGACTTGGGGAATGGGGAAATGCCATTTCCAGATGGGCAAACCTGAGGGGGATGGAGAGAAATCCCCATTGTGAGGGTGGGAGTGTGGCCATGGATAGAGAAATCCCTGGGAGCTCTGGGAGGCTCCTTCAGCACCCTGGGCTTTCCTAGGCCATCCAAACCTGCTCACTCTTGGGAATGTCCATGGAGTTTGTCATTCAAGTGGCTTTTCCACCTTAATTTAGCCCCATCTCCCAAGGTAAGGGGATCATCCTTCAGTTTTAATCTGGTGTCTTTGTGCTGAGATCTTCCCCAGTGTCCGGTTTTNCCTGAGGGCTTTCTGGAGATGGGAGAAGCTTTGGGCTGGAATGCTCTCTGCAGCAGCTCCATGCAGCTCTCCCAGGAGTGCTCTCAGCTCTGGTGTTGGTGGCATTCCAGGATTTCACTTTGCTGGGCATCTTTTCCTTGCTGAGAGAGTGAGGGCTGTAACAGGAACTCACCTCATTTCAAGGAAGGAAGCCTTTCCCTGCTTCATTTCTGCTGTTTCCAGAGCTTTTCCCCTGTGCTGATGTTGCTGAAATCCACTTTATTTTCAGTCTGTTCTCAGTTATGCACTCAGGGAATGGTTTGGGTGGGAAGGGACCTTAAAGATTCCAACCCAAACCATGGCAGGGACACTTCCAGTGCCCAGCCTGGCCTTGGGCATTGCAGGGATGCAGGGGCTGCCCTGGGATTTGTGCCAGGCTCTCACTGCCCTCACAGGGAGGAATTTCTGCTGTTGTGTTGATAAACAACGTGGTTGTTCCCAAACCTTTCATCCCAATGTTTCTCCCTTTCACGAACTAATTCACTCACTGATTTTTTTTTTTTTTTAATAGGAATTTTAAATCTTTGCCACAACAAGGACAATGTTCAGATATGGCCCTGTGTGGCTCATGAGTATTTTTTGAGTTTGGCAACACCAGGATTGAGTCTGAGTGTGGGAAACTCAGCTTTAATTTACAGCTGGCATTGACTCAGGGAGCTGAGGAGCATCCACTTGATTTAATCCTTGGTTTACTTAGGATTAAATCAAGTCCTGCTTAATAAAAACCAGCCTGGGAGAGCTGTTTTTTATTAAGCAGGACTTGATTTAGTCCTAAGTAAAACCATTTGTGCTTAATGTGATCCATGAAGCTTCTGTGAGTGTGAAAATGCAGACAATTAAACATTTTCTGGGCCATCACTGCCCACACTGGGGCTGTGCAGCACTTGGGGAACCTGGAGCAGTCATCCAGGGATACATTTCCTAAGGAATGAGTACCACAGCAGGAAGATTTAAAGTTTGAGTGCCATGAAAAGATTTGGTGACAAATGTCCCTCAGGCACAACCCTTCCTTGGGAGGTTCCTCACCACAGACCTGCTGCTTTTCCAGAGATTCCATTGGGTTTCAGCAGGAAAATCACTGCTCTGAGGGCATTTCTGTTCCCAGCTGCCCTCTGGGTGGGAAATTCCTTGCTGTGGAGTTTTAGGGCAGAGCAGCTCCTGCTGAACCCAGAAAATTCCAGAGCCAAAACAAACAGATTAAACTTTTCCAGAGCCAAAACAAACAGATTAAACTTTTCCCTCTCCCTGTGAGAAGGAGGGGAAGGAGGTTCTTGTGTGCAAACCCTTTTGGGGCTGACTCTGTGGGAAAAGTCTGTCCAGTTTGGGAGTTGTTGTTCCTGAGGAATTGCAGTAAATCCTGAGGGATCCCAGACTGGGATCTCCTCACAAAAACTGCCAGAGTGGAGTTTGGAACTTTGGGATGCAGGGGCCTCACCCAGCCCGTGGTGACATCCAGCAGATTTCATGGATTGTCACTTAAAATCAGGGCTCTGAGGTGGGAATTGTTTGTTCCTGGTGGGTTTTGGGAATTCCTGGTGGGTTAGGAACATCTCAGTGTGTGCCCAGGAATTCCTGCAGTCCTGGGCAATCTTGGTGCAGTGAAAGCAGGAAAGCTTCTCCATCCAAAGGGGAAAAAGGGGAATTGCAGTTCCCTGCAGCTGGAACATTGCTGCTGTGATTGAAGGATCTTTATATGAAATATTCCCATTCATATTGATATGAAATATGAAATGGGAGCAGCCTCAGTGCTGCAGAGCCAGGGTTCAGCTGGGAACAAACCTTTGCTTTTCTCCTGCTTGCCTTGGAATTCCTACCCACAGCACTGATGAAAGGGAGTTCCTGTAGGATGTTATTCCCAATCCATTAACCCTGATTTACAGCAAATTCCTTATCAGGCTTCAGTGCTGAAACAGCTCCANATTCAGGAGCTCTTTAAACACAAGTGGGCAGAAATGAGGGCCACTGGTGCAGCCTGGCTGTGCCCTGGCAGCCCTGGGGTGCTGGATGTGGTTGTGGGGCAGCCTCAGTGCCCCATTGCCCTCATTGCACCGTGAGGATGAGGAGGGTAATTGGGTCAATGGCTGTGACAGAGGCACCTTGGGTTGCTGCAGGCATTTCTGTGCAAACCCTGGCGTGCAGGAAGCTCCTGCCCCTTTTCCTGTGCCACCACTGGGCTGCCCTTTCCTGCTGGGCGGCTTTGGGGTGCTTTGATGTGCCAGCTGACCTGGAAAGAAGGGAAACTTTGTGAACTTCAGCTGTGTGTAACCAGGCTGCTTGCTCCTGAATCACTCGGGCTTTTTCTGCTTTGGTGTGAGAGAAAAAAAAAAAAAAAAAGGGAAATTGTGGTTGTTGTGACTTGAGCAGGTCTGTGATTCAGGTTTGGAACTGGTGCTGAAACCCAAGGAAGTTGTGTGTAAATCCTGCCTGAGCTGCTCCTCTGAAACACTTTGAGCAAAGCCAAGGAGGGGGAAGCAAATCTGATCCCTGTGGAGGTTGTGGCAGGGAGAGAAGGGAGCAAATCCCATCCTGTGGGGCTTGGGAGGGGTCTGTGGAAGGCACAGCACCCCCAGGCCCCCAAAAACAGAATAATTCCACGTGGGACTGGCAGGAGCTCTGCAAAACAACCCCAGTGTGGAGATGCACCAAGGAAAATGGAGTTTGGAGGTGCCTGGGGAGCAGGAAGGGAAAAATCCCCCAGGATTATGTTCCTGGCAGGGCAGGGAGAGCTTTTATAAACATTGCCCTGACCAAAGGATCCTCACCAGGGCTCCAAGTGAGCCTTTCCAAGGTGTGGCTGCTGCCTCAGCTCTTAAGGGAGAATTTGGGGTGCAAGCCCCTTGCACAGCTTGATGTTCATCCTGATTTCCCTCTGCTGCACCTGGGAATCAGAAGAGCAGAATTTCATTTGTTCTTGAAAAAAACCTGTATTTTTAATAGTGTTTTGAAAGGAGCAAAAACCCCCAGGTGCCTCAGGAATGATCCCCCAGAAAAATCCACCTGGTGGATTCCTTCAGGTTGGGAAATCTGTGCTGAAGGCAAAGCAAGATTTACCCCTGTGTTGTTTTAGGTCAGAGGAATTGCTCTGATCTCAAACTTCATTTCCACATTCAGTTGGCTTTCATTTCCTTCACCTGTGCTGGAGAAATCCCAGTGGGTTTGGAGATTTTGTTTTAAAGCTCTTTTCTTTGAGGATTGGCAGATAAGAACCAGGAAGGCTCAGAACTGCTGGAGCTTCGGGCTGAAGCAGCAAAAATTCTGGAACAAACAACTGGAGAACGGCCCAAAACTGCAGAGGAGAAGTTGAGATTGAATCTTAGGAAGAAATTCTTCCCTGTGAGGATGCTGGGGCTGCCCTGGAATTATTTAAGAGCAGGTTGGGCACTGGGGCTGGAGCAGCCTGGGACAGTGGGAGGTGTCCCTGCCATGGCCCTGGATGGGTTTGAGATCCCTTCCCACCCAAATTTTATGGTTCTATGACATAGCAGGGGACAAATCATCCCCTAAATATCTTTGGGAGACTTTATTGCTGTTGAGGTTGGAGCAGGAAACACCTGGGGGGAGGCAGTTCCTGCTGGGAGTTTGGATTTGAGGCACAAAAGCCAATTATTGAGGAATTAAGGCTGAAGCAGCTTTGTGAGCACAGAGCTGCCCCATTTCCAGGGGCACTGCCCATTTCTGTGGGCTCTCAGCCTGGTTTGGAGTGCAAGCCCAGCTTGGCCAGGCTGGAATTCCCAACAGCTCTGGAAACCACCAGAGTTTTTAACCAATTTTTAACCAATCAGGGTTAAAAACCTGGTGTGAG